TTGGGCTCGACTCGTTTAAAGTCGCGGGTGGGCTTTTATCGCGTTTTAGGACTTTTCGAGCCTGTTTTCGCGACTTAACCGTTTTGTGATTTCGAACGAGATCGTTCCTTAATACGACGCTTTTTTATAAAACATCTCGAGTTAATCGTATAGCTTAGTAATATCCGATGTTTCGTCTAACCGTTGCTGTTTTATACAATTTACTCGAGTTCTTTCGAGAAAACAAGATTTTACAGTTTTTATCGTAAAACTTGATTGATAAGACGGATCAAGATGAAACAAGAGACGTTCCGATCATGGTTCAGAGCACGATTGGAGTCGAAGGACGTATGCTTTGTGTCGGGAGTGTGGGGAGCAGGGCTCGGACTGGTCAGCTCGACGTACGGCGAGCTGTTGTGAGACGATCAGCACGCCGTGAGGTAAGCCGAACCGCCTGGTTCAGCTCGCCATACGGCGAGCTGGTTTGTGGCCACCAGCTCGCCGTAGGGTGAGCTGGTCCGGGATTCCCCAACTCTCCGTACGGCAAGCTGAATCGGTTGGTTCAGCTTGGCGCAGGGCGAGCTGGTTCAGTTGAACCTGCTCGTGATTACGGCAGGTTGGATGTTTCGGTTTTTCGATCTGAGATCCTTTCAGGAAATTTTGATAAGAAATAATCGTAGACGTTGATTTCGAGATTACCATTTTTGACACCAACAGTTAGCCCCCCAGCTTGCAAGTTTCGAAGAAGGTTTTTGCGGGTGAGTGGAGTTGTTTAATCGAAATCCACGGCTGCGGTTTATCCTATCGCGGAAGATGAGTTCTTCTTTTCTATAAGTATTGGATCATCACTTCTTGCTTTCTTCACACATCCTCAATCTCTCAAATTTCCTCCAACTTCTCCCTAGAAAACTTGTTTGTCGAGATGTCTTCTTCCCAAGCTGTTCAACAAAGCCATGACGTCCCAGCTAGTACAACTCTACGGTAGACTCGCAGGATGCTCGCATCTCTGAGTTCCTCTCGTTCCAGGAAGAGATGGATCGCTGCGATGCTGAGGAAGCTACGACAACTGACTTGTGCAGCCCCGGCGGACCTGCCCGTTCCTCCAGAAGAGTCTGACGTTGTTCCGGACGAAGTAGTGAGTGCTGCAGCGGAACCTGCGGCGAGTGCCACTATCGATCCATCGAGTTCGTCCGCGGTCCCGACCCTTGCTGAGATCGAAACTGTAGAGGCTTCCACCGAGGTCGAACCAGCTGTGGCTCTTGCCGAGGTCGAGCCGGCTACGGCCTCGAAACCTCCTCCTCCGGTCAAGAGAGTGATCGTCCTAGGACTTCCGGCGCTTAGTGTGACGGTTGCTACTCCAGCCAAAGGTCGTAAGAGACCTTGCGCAAACCCTGATGCTCCCACGAGAAAGAGATGCACGAAGGGTCCGGAGGCTGGTCCTTCATCGAGCAAAGCGCTGAGCTCAGGTCTGATGTCGCAATACCGCGCCAAGGTATAGATTCGCGAGTACACCTTAAAAAAGATTTTTTTTTTGTTTTTTTAAATTGGTGTCTGCTCGTCTATCTTGGTTCTTTCAGTTTGTTTTGTTAATTGATGGAGTAATTAATGAATTCGGATCCGAAGTTGAGCGTTTAGCGAAGGAGTTGGCTGAGTCGCAGGAGAGGTCTGCTCAGCTCGAAGGGAAGCTGAAGGTGATTGAAGATGCGCATTCCGCGGAGGTGTCTCAGTTCAAGGCTAGGATCAGCGACTTGGAGCGCGATCTCAGGAAGAGTGCGAGTTCTTTTCTCAAGGCGAAGGATGCGAAGAAGGCTAAGGCTTTGGAGCTGCGCAGACTTCAGCGCAAGATGAAGAGCATTGAGGGATCGACGGTCCGTGAGACCAAGGAGGATGTCCCTGTCTAGGGAAGTGACTCCGAACCGGCTCCTGCGACCGAGTGCACCCTTCAGCCTAGCGTGGACAAGAGAAAGGCTCCAGAGGTCGCCGAGGAAGGTGAAGGTGTGGTTGCGTACGCCAGCGAGGCGATGGATGAGAACGAGACTCCATGTGTGGAGGGTGTCTGAGGTTGTAGTGTCGTATGAGACTTAAAAAATTTATATCTTTGTGTGTTGGCCAAGAGTGGCATTTGTATTTATTCGGGATTGGCCATTATGGCTTCGAATCCCGGTTGCTTCGGCAACTATTTATTAAACAATCAGTTTCCGTTAACTTTTTGCTTTGAGTTGATATTGAGGGAGGTCCGCGAGTTTTCGTCTCGCATTCCTTCTCCTTTGTAGATCGCCTTATTCATTTGCTTATTTTAGGATGCTTTAGAAAATTGAGGGAGCGTTTAAATGTAGACGAAGAGACATTCCTTTAGGATCTCGAATCATCCTTGAGACGGTAGAGACCAGTGTGTTGGGTTTAGGGTAAGACCTAGGTTTACTTTCGGATTGAGGCTATGCGATGAGTAGTCAGCTTTCGTTTTGCCTGTTGCGATTTTAACCTGATTCCATACCGATTTAGAGTCCGCGATAGGTTCTCGGCTTATACGACTCGTCTGGTTGGAATCAAGCACCCCGAAGGTGCTGACCAAAATTTGGATTTCTTTATAGCGCTATTACCCTTGTGTCAGGTGTATGAGAGCTATCTCTGCGAAATAACTTAAGTTTGTTTAGGACTGTTGCGAGTTTGTTGTGATCAGCAACAAACTTAGGTGGTGGTGTTACCGTTTTTTGGACCTTCGCGAAGGATTTGTATCTTAAGAAGTTATGTATGTCTTTTTATAGTCGCGGATGGACTGTTTATTGTTTTTCTTTTTTTGAAGAGAACGGTTTTCCAAACATTGGCGACGTCTCGCAATATTCAGAATTTCGTTTTATCTTTCGCTGCGTCGCTGAAAAAAGTTTGAGAAATTTCGAGTTTGAAATTTTGGGAGTATACGAGTTTACGTATACTCACCTACGCCCCCCCCTTTTAACGAGGGGGGACAGCTGGTCTTGTCTTGCGACAAGATGCCTACGTACCCTTTGGGGGGGGGGGATCAAGCCGTCTCGTAGTTCAGTGTTTTGCGGGCGTGTTGCCTAGTGATAGTATTTTTTAAGATGCATCGCGTTCCACGATTAGGGAATTTTGGTGCCTTGTCGTCCCGTCGAGCCGGACGTTCGGTTCGGTTTTTTGGACGTTGAACCGGTTCGGTCGAACCATGCTCGCGATGCGGTTTTTACGCGGTATTTTGTTATTTCTTAGATGATCGTACAATCGGAGATTTGTTTTGTTCGTTTTTCCGAGACGACGATTTCTAAGTTTCCAATGATTTCCTATGTTCGGAAAGTCTTTGAGTTTTATAAAATGAATTCTCGCGAATTCTATAAAACGTAGCTTTGTTTTGCGGAGGCTTTTGGCCGTTGATTCCGTCGTACCGTTTTTGACCCCAACATTGAGCTTGGTCGCTATAGCGACCGAGCTTAGGCTTGAGCTCAGTCGCTATAGCGACCGAGCTTCATATGGAACTCGGTCGCTATAGCGACTGAGCTTGTGCTTGAGCTCGGTTGCTGTAGTGACCGAGTCGAGCGTACCTTTGGTTTCCTTGCGACGATCGAGTCGAATCCTCGTTGTTGTGTATTTTTTGCTGTTTCGAGTGATCGAATGTTTAACGAAGATACGATTTAGTCGTAGAGTCCTTTGCAAGGATTCGATTCTTCTGATATCTTTTACGAGGAAATCAAAGGTACATATTTTACCAAAAGTTTCGATACTAACTTCTTCGTTACGGTTTTTGACCCCCACAATGTCAAGTTCAAAGATAAATGTCAAGTTCAAAGATAAATAGAAGCTTTCCAAGGATAAATATAAAACATCAAGATAAATGGAAGATTTTAAATAGACACGAATCAGGGCGGAAAAGGAAAGACCTAACCGCCTAGAAGAGGAGTATATAAAGACAAGGTCGAAGCCAATTACAGGGATACACTATTTTGCAGATCTCTCACCATACCAAAAAATTAGGGCAAATAGGCAATTTTCCGTTTCTTGTTATCGAGTTGCGTCTCAACTAGGGTTTAGTCTAAGGTTGCTAGAACTAGGATAAAGACATTTTCCGTGGTCTTTATCGTAAACATGACCCATGCTACCATTTGATCGAGAATCAAGAAATGGTTGAGCCATGGTTTGCGGAAGGTTGCAATAAGATAGTCGAGATTGCATCGTATCGTTATTCCGGAAGAAGTCGTGTGCTACGGAAAGACCGCGACGTATGTACGTTTTCTCATTATAGCGACCGATCTTGTGCTCGATCTCGGTCGCTATAGCGACTGAGCTTCGTATGGAGCTCGGTCGTTATAATGACCGAGCTTGTGCTTGAGCTCAGTCGCTAGAGAGACCGAGCTTCGTATGGAGCTCGATCGTTATAGCGACCGAGCTTCTGCTTGAGCTTGGTCGCTATAGCGGCCGAGCTTTTTTTGGAGCTCAGTTGCTAAAGCGACCGAGCTTGGAGATGAGCTCGGTCGCTATAGCGACCAAGCTTGTTCTTAAGCTCGGTTGCTATAGTGACCGAGCCGAGCATACAGTTGGTTGCCTTGCGATGATCGAGCCGAATCCTCGTTGTTGTTGATTTTTCGTTGTTTTGAGTGATCGAATGTTTAACGAAGATACGATTTAGTCGTAGAGCTCTTTGCAAGGATTCGATTCTTCTGATTTCTTTTGCGAGGAAATCAAAGGTATATATTTTACCGAAAGTTTTGATACTAACGTCGTTGTTATGGTTTTTGACCCCAACAGTTAGCCCCCCAGCTCGTTAGAATCATGTAGAGATTCTAGCGTGCGTTATTGTGAGTCGGACGAGAAAGTCGTGTTTGACGAATTTCGTATTCGTAAATTTGTAATAGTATCTGCACGAGAAGGGGAGTCGTATTATTCATATAAAAAAACAAAAATGATATACTCATACCTTTATAAATATTGGGATCCTCTCCTCATTCTCTTCACACCTTTCCTTTCTCTCTCAATTTTCCTCTCAAGATGTCAAGAAGAGTTCTGATGTTGAGATGACTGAGGCTTTGCCGGCTCTGATCATTGAACCTACCTCCGAACCTACTTGCGTTGCTGGCTACCTTTCCTTCCGCGAGAAGATGGCTCGTCGCAAGGCTGAGAAGGAAGTCATGCGTGCTGGCAACGGAAAGCAGCCTCCTCCTCCTGCGATGGACGGACTCCGCGGCTTCTAGTTCTGAAGCTCCGGTTGCGTTAAAGGCCTCAGAGCAACCTGAGACACGTTCTCCCGGAGTTCCCTTTCAGTCTACTGGGTTGCTGACGGTTACGATCGTTGTTGAAGATAAGGAGAAGGCCATCGAGTCGCAGCCTCCCCCTCCGGCTAGGAAGGAGATTGTTCTGGCGTTGCGCGCTCCTAGCGCTGCCCCGATCGTTTCTGCCCGGACTCGAAAGAGGAAGTGCGTGACGATTGCCGATAGAGACTCCTCGCTGCCGGAGGGATTGCGTATCGCACCGGTACTTCGCGGAAAGGTATGTTGTACAGAATTTTAACATATTCTTATGCTTCACCTTATGCTTATTGCCACGATTTTATCTTTTCAGTTCATATCGTTGATCGACGGGATGATCGGTGACTGCAGCACTGAGGCCACTCGCCTTGCCAGGGAGCTCGGATAAGTGCAGGGCCAGATATCCAAGTTCCGGGCTCTGATGACGACGCTGGAGGATTCCTACTTTGCTAAGGTATCCAAGTTCGAGGAACAGATTACCGAACTTGAGAGGGGTCTGGGGAAGACAGTGAGTGCCTTGATCAAAGAGAAGAAAGCCAGGAAGGCTAAGGCTTCAGAGGTTCGTCAATTTCAGCGCCAGAACGAGGCCAGGGAGGAGCTGATGACTCGCAGTGTCGAAGCCGCCAAAGGCGCTTTGCATACCTAGTTTCAGGCCCGTATGATGGGTTTTACTGAAATCCTTAGTTCTCTCGAGCGCAGCAGGGACCTGACCTCGGCGAGCATAGATAGTGGGTTGACGGTTATCTGTGTCCACAGAGGCGAGTCTCCTCCGTTCCTTCAGTCTGAGGAGGATGGCTTATCATCCTGTAAAGTTCATTTTGTAGCCGCAGATAAGAGCTTCGAGCTCCTGCTGTGTGACCTGTGATCCGAGTGAGCACTGGCGTTATCTGTGGAGGATCTTGAGGAGCGAAGTCCCTTGGCTGGAGAGGATGTAGATGAGGCGGCCCCGAGCGAGGCGGGTGAAGGGGAGATCTAGGTTTGAGATCAGGATCTTTGGTTTATGTGTTTTTTTTTTAATTTGCGTTTGTTCCGGCCTCTAATGGTCGTGTTTTTATTTTCAGGACTAGCCTCTTGTGGCTTTGATTCCCTGCCGCACCACGGCTTTTAGTGAATGAAAATCAAATTCGTTTTTCTTGAGTAGGAAGAAATTCATGAGTTTTCATCTCATAATTGTTTCCAAGGTGGGAAGTGGTATTCGAGGTCCGTTTCGAGAGTTTTTCCGTGACATCGGGATGTTACGGGATTTTTCTGAGGACGTTTGATATACGCACCGAGGCATGCTTTAGGATCTCGTATATTATAATATCATGCCTTGAGATGTTAGAGACCAATGTGCTGGGTTTAGGGCAAGACCTAGGTTTACTTCTACATTTAGGGGGTGCGATGACTAATTCGTTTTACGTATCACGTTATATTTTCAATCTGATTCCATACCGTTTTATAGTCCGCGATAGTTTCTCGGCTTATATGACTCATCTGGTTGGAATCGAGCATCTCTATAAGGAAAATTTTTAAGTCTCCTAGAAGTGCTGACCAAAATTTTGGATTTCTTTTATAGCATTATTATCCTTGTGTCGGATGTACGAGAGTCATCTTTAGGGGATGACTTTGTCTGTTTAGGACGTTGCGAGTTTGTTGTGATAAACAACAAACTTGTGTGGTAGATGTTACCGTTTTTTGGGCCTACGCGAAGGGTTCGTATTTCTTTTTTTTATAGTCGTGGATGGACTGTTCTTGATTTGAGTATAACGATTTTCTGGGCATTGGCGACGTCTCGCTACGTTCAGAATCTCGTTTTTCCTCTGGCCAAGTTGTTGGAAATTGTTTTTGAAATTTTGGGAGTATACGAGTGTATGTATACGTAACCACTCCCCCCCCCCTTTTAATGACGGGGGATAGTTGGTCTCGTCGTGGGACGAGATGCCTATGTACCCTTTCATAGGGATCAAGCCGTATTGTAGTTCAGTGATTGCGATGTTTTAGTGGTAATATTTTTTGAGATCCATGATGTTCCAAGTTCTCGGAATTTTTGCACCTTGCATATTGACTATCTCATTGGAGCCTGGTCGAACAACTTTTATAATCTCATAAGGGCCCTCCCAGTTTGCTCCTAATTTTCTTGCATTTCGTTCGGCAGTGGTTTGGAAGACTTTGCGCAAAACTAAATCTCCTACGTTAAATCGGCGATTTCAGACATTAGAGTTATAGTATTTGGCGGCCGCGTGTTGATAGTTTTGAATTCGGATTAAGGCCCGGTCTCGCTGCTCGTTGACGAGGTCAAGGTTATCTAATGACATGGTGTTATCGATTTCTTCCCGTTCTAAAGCAGTCTTCTACGGATTCCAAGAAATTCGACCTCTGCGGGGATCATGCATTTCGTTCCGTATACAAGGGCGAAGGGTGTGTCTCCCGTTGCGCATCTTGGAGTCGTGCGATGTGACAAGAGAAATCCTTCAAGTTCTTCTGCCCATCTTCCTTTCTTTTCGTCCAGGCGTTTCTTAAGTCCGCCGAGGACGGTTTTGTTGATAGTCTTGGCCTGCCCGTTGCGTGGGGGATATTTAGGAGTCAATTAGTTTAATCGTATCTTTCATTTCTCGCCGAATGCTTCGAATCGTGTGGAGATGAACTGCTGTTACGATTTTGTATGGGACTCCATGTCTACAGATAATTTTTTTCCATACGAAGTTTTCGACTTGGACATCCTTTATACTTGCGTATGATTCTGCCTCCACCCACTTTGAAAAGAAATTGTAAGGACCAGGAGGAAATGCTTTTGCTTGGAGTTGTGGAGGGGTCCCACGATGTCCATGGCCCAGCACATGAAAGGGTATGGCAATGTGATCGAAGAAAGTTCGTCTGCTGGTTGTCGGATAGTCGGGGCGTGCCTTTGGCATTTTTCGCACTTCCATGTGAATTTTTCGCAATCTCCGATCATTGTCGGCCAGTAATATCCTTGGTTTTTGAACTTCACGGCGAGAGACCTTCCGCCTGAGTAGTTTCCGCAGGATCCGAAATGGACTTCTTTCATTACTTTCCTCGCCTACCCCCTTCCAGACACGCTGAGTGCTCTATAAAATTTCCATTTGTAAATTTCTCCGTCGACTGTTACGTAACGAGCGGATTGGGTTCGGAATTTTCGGGCCGCCCCCTTCTTGGATGGTAATTTTCCGTCGACAATGTATGCCCGTATTGCCTCCAGCCATGGTGTGTCGCAGCCATATTTGGGGTGTTCGGATTTCTCCTCTGATTGTACTGCGACTTCTTCCCCATCGCCACCATGATCTTGGATGAGGTTGATGATGACGGGAGGTCCATTGCTAAGATGTTCGATGAATTCGATCGGGATTACTCTTTTAAGTCCTGGATACGAACTCGATGCCAGGGCCGCGAGGGCGTCGGCTTGGGTATTTTCGGAACGATAATTTGCGTGAAGGCGAAGTGATCAAAATCTTGGGACAGATTTTGAACCAGTTTGAGGTAAGCGTCCATCCTTTCGTCCATGCCTCGTACTCTCCGATGTACTGGCTTGCAACTAGCTGTGAGTTGCAATAGGCATGGACGTTTCGTATTTTCAAACTGTGGGATAATCGTAATCCTACAGTAAGGGCCTCGTATTCGGCCTCATTATTCGACGCGTGGAACTCCAATCTAAACGATTGTTCGAGGATTTCTCCGGTTGGCAATGTAAGGCGGATGCCGATACCAGATCTTTGCTTGGAAGATGATCCATCAACATGAAGGAGCCAAGTCGAATTTTTCTCTTCGTTGGTTATGGCTTTTGTTGGTAGTCCCACCAGAAAATCCGCAAGTACTTGGGACTTCGCGCTTGTCATGGGACGATAATCTATATTGTATTCGCTTAGCTCGACAGCCCATTTGGCTAGTCTTCCCGACAGGCTTGGACTATGCAAGATAGTCCGGAGAGGGAAAGTCGTGAGGATGACGATGGTGTGGGATTGAAAATATGGTCGAAGCTTTCGTGCTGACGTTACGAATGCGCATGCTAATTTTTCTAGAGGATACCGTGTTTGGGCATCTAACAACGTTTTGCTTACGTAGAAAAATAGTTTTTGTTCTCCGTGCTCTTCCTGGATCAGGACGCCGCTTACGGCCGTTGCTGATACTGCTATATATAAAAATAGGGGTTCCCTTTCCACGGGTTTTGCGAGAATTGGAGGAGTCGCCAGATAGTGCTTCAGCTGTTTGAAAGCATTCTCCCATTCGTCCGACCACTCAAACCTTTTGTTCCTTTGCAGTACATCGTAGAAAGGTAAGCACTTATCTGTTGAGCGGGATATGAACCGGCTGAGTGCTGCGACTCGTCCGGTCAACCTTTGCACTTCTCGCTTGTTCTTAGGGGATGCCATCCCGATGACTGCATCGATCTGTTTAGGGTTGGCTTCGATCCTGCGATAAGTAACTAAGTAACTGAGGAATTCGTTCGATGCTACGGCGAATCTGCACTTCGCTGGATTTAGTTTCATGTTGTGTGAATTTAACCGAGCGAAGCACTCTTCTAGATGGATGACATGGTCGTTCGCGAGGAGGGATTTGACAAGCATGTCATCGATTGTGGGAACCGAAATTCACACTTGTCGATTTACGTTAAATAAGGAAACTTAGGAAAACCCTAATTTTCCAGAGGAACCGAATCTCTGCGAAAGCCAAAGACAAGTAACCAAGTGAGTGCTCGAAAATATGAAAAACGTGATAAAACGAATTTAAAGGAAAAGTAGATCTTATTTCGATTTCGCGTATGAGCGTTGCGATCATTACAAGGGTTTACAAAGGCTTTCGCCGTAGGGGCGTCAGCGAGTTATCAAGATAAAAACCTAAAACCTAGTCGAGTCGCAGCTCGATAACAAAAGACGAAAAAAGATAAGAAAAAGGATTTGATTGATTTCGGACTGAACCTTATGAAAGGCTGCCTACGTACCCCTTTCGGGGATCAAGTCGAACGTAGTTCAGTTGATTGAGCTGGACAAGAGATCGAACTGCCTGGGCGATTTCCTCTAGTGATTGAGCGCCAGTCATAGAAACCGAACTTGTCGAGAAAAAGCCTAAGTTTCTNTATCTCTTTGGGCGAGTTTAATGGTCAAATTGTCATTGCATCTCCGGTTTAGACTTTGTCTGAACCGCGAATAGGCTTTTATCGCGGTTTAGGGCTTACGAGACCGTTTTGCGATAAAGTTGCTTTTGCGATTCTAGACGAGGTCGTTTCAAGATGTTTTTCGAGTTGATCATGCAGTTGGACGTTTCTCGGTGTTTCGCATAACCGTCGCCGTTTTGCAAGACTTTCTCGTGTTTTTTCGATAAAACAAGACTTTACGGTTTTTTTCGTAAAACTCGATTGGAAAGACGTATTGAGACGAAACGAAAGACACTTTGATCACAGTCCAGAGCACGATCAGAGTCAAAGGACGTATGCTTGTGTCGGGAGTTCGGAAAACAAGGTTCGGGATGGATAGCTCGCCGTACGACGAACCGAACCAGGACGGTTCAGCTCGCCGTATGGCGAGCTGACTTTGGTGAAACAGCTCGCCGTGTGGCGAGCTGTTTGCGACCATCAGCTCGCCGCACGGCGAGCTGAACCGGTTGGTTCAGTTCGGCGCACGGCGAGCTGGTCTGGTCGAAACTGCTCGCAATTTTACGGCGGTTTTAGCGTTTTTGGTTTTCGTTGTTTCTTAGATGTTCGTGCAATCGGAGATTGTTTTGTCTCTCTTTCCGAGACGATGATTTTCAAGTTTTTCAACGTTTTCCTTTGTTCGGAAAGTCGTTAAGTTTTATAAAACACTTTTTCGTATTTTATAAAACGTATTCTTACTTTTGCGGAGACTTTCAACCATTGATTCCGTTGTGACCGAT